TGAATTCGAGGCCAACCTGGTCTATAGAATGAGTTCCAGAACAGCTAGGGCTATTGCAGTACAGAGAAACCCTGTTTCGGAAAAACAAAAACAACAACAACAAACACACAAAACAAAACAAAAAACAAAGGAACAAACAAACAAAAAACAAAACAACAACAAAAAGAAATGGCAAAAGCCTTTTAGAATCCTAGGCATGGGGCTGGATTTGTCTGGCCTCTTAGTGCTCTAAAATCAGAAATGCTGCTTGTTCCTATGTCTTCATTTCCTGCAGGGATCGTCCTCTCTCTCTCTCTCTCTCTCTCTCTCTCTCTCTCTCTCTCTCTCTTTCCCTCTCCCTCTCCTCCCCTCTCTCTGCCATTTGTTTTGTGGCCACTTGATCACAATGTACTAATATCCACAGTGTTTGAAGTAAATGTTCAAAAAATAAGGAGATCTTAAGGAATGCTTGGGAACTAAAAGGTTTCAGGCTTTAATTTTTCTTCACCAAATGGTGAAAATGCCAGGTGGGGTGTGTGTGCTCAGAACACAGAGTGGGAAAAGGTATTTTGAGATATGGCTCAATAAAAAGTTTGATTGCTCAAAACTTGGGAGGACTATAGCAAAAATTCCCCCAACTCCGGCAGTTCTTCCCTCTTGCAGAATTCAACTAGAATGTTCTTCCTCTCAGCTCCCTGATGGAAGATCCCACACAGCTCCCCTAGCTTCCTAGATATCAACTTTAGCTAAATCACAAGTGTTGTTGGCTATTAGTTTTCCCATGCTAATGACTTTGACAGGGTAAAGCCATGCTGAGGAGGGCTGCAGGGAAGGGCCCCTCCTTCCTGCTGTGCAGCATTTGGATGATTTACTCTCTTTCAAAACAGAGATCTCTCTGTGTAGCCCTGGCTGGCCTTGAACGCAAGGATCTGCTGGCCTCTGCCTCCCAAGAGCTGGGATTAAAGGCACACACCACCACTACCCACTTTAACATTTAGATGATTTTCAAAGGCCATCTTTTACCTCCAATTAGGAGGCCATAAAACTATGATCCTCCTCCCCTGGTGCTGACTCTTGGAAAAACTGATGTTTTAAGAACAGGAAAGCAGGTCACTGCCTGCAGAATCTCTGAGTTACTCCTAAGAAGCTTTTCCATTAGATTAAAAAAAAAAAAAAAAAAAAAAAAAAAAAAATCCCTTATGCCAACCAAAAGGCTGTGAGGCTCATGAAGAATGAGAAAACAAATTAAAATAAACATATATTGTATTTTGACAATGTTGCCCTTTCTGAATACTCCAAGTATCTTTTATATGTCCTTACATAATTTCTGGGATGAGAACTGCTACTCCTAGAAAGGTACTGGTTAGAACTGGTTTGTGTTACTGAGAAATCCGAGTTTCTGAGCTTCTTTATTTCCAATCATAGGTAATTTTAAAAACCAGGTCAAGCAGAAACCAGGATTGGAAAGATCTTCAGAAAAATCTCTTAAATTAATTTTTCTACTAAAGACGGCATGCCTTCGATCCAAGCTGTTGGCAATTTGGGTAGCTAATAAGTGTGTCTTGGAACCTTAGTCTTACAGTCTCATTATTCGCCTTAGAACAAAATCACACATGGGCCACAAAGCTTTGCTCTCTCCAAAGGGTTAACTCAACTCAGTTCCAGGATCAAGAAGGGAAAAAGCATATACCTAATGACCCCAAAGGGAAGGCAGGGCAGGAGAGCCTCCCACCAGGGTTCTAATTCAAGTGACCAAAGCAAAGGGAGAACTATTTCTTAACTTCCAAATATGCAGTTTCTTCCCATCAGCTTTTGGTTGGAGACAAAAGTCAGGTCCTGTAGTGGTTTGAAAGAAAATGGTCCCCCCCAAAAATGGCACTATTAGTAGGTGTGGTCTTGTTGGAGGAGGTGTGTCACTGTGGAGGCGGGCTCAAGCCATGCCCAGTGAGTCAGTCCACTTCCTGTTGCCTGAAAGTCAAGTTATAGGACTCTCAGTTCTGTCTCTGGTACCTGTCTACATGCCACCATGTTCCCCTGCCGTGATAATGGACTAAACCTCTGAAACTCTAAACCACCCAATTAAATGTTTTCCTTTATAAGAGTTGATGAGGCATGGTGTCTCTTCACAGCAATAGAAAACCTAAGTCAGGTTGATAGACCAGAAAATAGTCACCTGCAGACAGTATAGTAATTTGGAACCAAACCTTGGATAGATTCCCCTCAACTCTTAAACACAGTATCAAAGTCAAGGATGACAGGAAAGTTTCTGCTGGTGGCCTTTTTATATACATTTGTATGTGCATGCATGTAGAGGCCAGAAGACCATATCAGGAATCCTTAGTTTCTGATATAGGTCTCATGTAGCTCAGGCTAACCTCAAACACCCCAAGTAGCTGAAAATGGCCTTGAACTTCTGATTTTTCTACTTCAACCTCCAGAGTACCAAGATTATGGACCTGCAATAACATGCCTGGCTTTCTGCTTGTAGGCTTTAAGCCACACTGATAAGTTAAAGCATTATGGTCAACTAGACTATCATTCCTATTAAAAAAATTACTTGTGTTGTATGTGTACACATGTAAAAGTCCATATTCACAAGAATCCATAACTTATATATACATATTATAAAGGGGATATGTGTTCTATAGCTCTTTACAGGAGTTCATGCTCATTTGACTAAGGTTAGATAATAGGAAACAACTTCATAGAGAAGGGAGCATTTAAGCTGAGTCTTTCATAAATACACCACATTTGAAAAAGAGGAAATTGTGCAAAAATTCAAAAAAGCAGAGCAAGGGCAAGGAGTGGGAAGGCCAAAAAGGCATTTTAAAGTACACTTGAGGCTAGTTCAGGACTAGCCGAACAATGTGGCAAGAACCACTGTTTCAAAAACTAAATTTAAAAAAAAAAAAAAGAAAAAGAGGATGGGATGGCAGCTTATATCCATACTCCCAGCACTCAGAAGGCAGAGCTATGAGTTTGAGACTAGCCTAATCTATGAAGAGTTTCAGGCCAGTGGGGTATGTGATATGTATAAATTTTGAATTGGTTTTTGAACTTGTAAATGACAAACTTGGTCCTGTCCTGAAAGGAAGACTTACCTGGCAGTCAGTGTAAATGTTGGAGGAAACTGGAAGCAGGCCACCAGTTAAGAGGCTTTACATCAAATGGGTGACAAGGAGGGCCTGAGCCAGAATTGTAGTAGGGACAGGTAACGAACCTTCTAGTAATCACTGTAAGCATTGACCCAATATTCCAAAGCAAGTAGGTCATAGGTTGTGTTTTTTGTTTTTTTTTTTTTTTTATTCTTTGGCTCTTTTGGCTTTTGGGCAAGTCTACCATCCAGCTCCCAAACAACTCATACATGAAGGCTTATTCTTCATTATGAATGCCTGTCCTTAGCTTGTCTTGTTTCTAGCCTGCTTTTCTTAATGTAAATTATCCCGTCTACCTTTTGCCTCTGGGCTTTACCTGTCCTTTTACTTCTGTGGATTGCTGGGTAGCTGGATAGCTGGCCCCAGATGTCCTCCTCTCTTTGTTCTCTTGCTCTCTTCTTCCTAGTTTCTCCTATTTGTACTCTGCCTGCCAGCCTGGCCTATCCTTGCTCCTGTCTTGCTACTGACCAGTTGTTCAGCTCTTCAGCAGACCATCAGGTGTTTTAGACAGGCAAAGAATCACAGCTTCACTGAGTTAAACAAATGCAGCACAAACAAAAGTCACACACCTTAAAATAATATCCTACTACAGTCACACCATGTGATAATCATACCATACCAGGCTTTTTCCTTTGGGACACCAACCAGCTCCCAAATCATGACAGGGACTTGTTTTGAATGCCTAGCTTAGGCTTATTTCTAGCTAGCTCTTTTAATTTAACATGTTTCTCTTTATCTACCTTTTGCCTCAGTATCTTACTTTCACTGTTTCTGCATCTCACTGGTTGGGGCTCTCTGGCTTCTGGCCCTGGGCATCTTCCTGGTGCTCTCCCTCTCCTCTTATTCCTTGATTTCTACTTTTATTTTTTTCTGCCTGCCAGCTCCAGGTATCCTTTCTTTTTTTTTTTTCTTTCTTTCTTTCTTTTTTTTTTTAAGGATTCATTCATTATGCATACAGTGTTCTGCAGGCCAGAGGAGGGCACCAGACCCCATTACAGATGGTTGTGAACCACCATGTGGTTGCTGGAAATTGAACTCAGGACCTCTGGAAGAGCAGTCAGTGCTCTAAACCTCTGAGCCATCTCTCTAGTCCGTCCCCCCCTCCCACATCCTTTCTTTGCCCAGCTATTGGCTGTTCAGCTCTTTATTCAACTCATCACATACCTTAGGCAGGTAAGATAATCAGCTTTTCATAATTAACAAATGCAACATAAACAAAAGTAACACATCTTTACACAGTTAAAGTAATATTCTGTAGCATAAACAGATGTAACACATCTTTGTTTAGTTAAAATCATATTCCACAACATAAAAGCACAGCTATTTTGAATAGAACTTCCCTGAAACAAAGAATGAACCCAAAGCTGAGCAATGGTGGCACACACCTTTAATCCCAGCATTTGGGAGGCAGAAGCAGGAGGATCTCTGTGAGTTTGAGGCCAGCCTAGTCTATAAAATGAGTTCCAGGATGGGCTCCAAGGCTACACAGAGAAACCTTGTCTCTACAAAACAACCAACCAACCAACCAATTCCCCCCCCCCCCAAACACAAGAATGAACCCAAGGACTGGAGAGATGGCTCAGCAGTTAAGAGCATTGGCTGCTCTTCCAGAGGTCAATTCCCAGCACCCACATGGTAGTTCACAACAGTCTGTAACTGTAGTCCCACAGGACCTGATGCCCTCTTCTGGTGTGTAGATTTACACAGACAAAACACCCATGTACATAAAATACATAAATAAATAAATCTTAAAAGAATGAGCCCGCCAGATCCCTGTAGAGTTTAGAGCCATCACCACTGGGCCTTGTTCTCTCTCACCAAGGCTCTCAGCTAACTGTGGAAAGAAATATACACAGGAGACTCAAGAAACATCTTATTAATACAGTATTTATTTGTCTTCTCTCTGTCAAACCCTGAGCCAAACACTTTCCCCAGACTTCCTGGGGAGGTACAGGAAAAGGAACATACAGGGCAGACCAGACACGAAAGAACTATGGGAGGTGGAAGTGGAGACAGCTGCTTCACATGGCGAAGAGAATGAGAAAGGCCACCATCAGGCAGAAGAGCCCCATGGCTTCTGAGAGGGCAAAGCCCAGAATCGCGTAGGAGAAGAGCTGCTGCTTCAGAGAAGGGTTCCTGGGGAAAGAGGAGAGAAGTCTGAATTCGTAGTCTACACAAGGCAAAGTCTAAGGTGGACTCTCAGAATTGCCTTCAAACTCATGTTATATCTAAGAGACTCCACTGTACCCAGATTCTCCCCTTAATGTTTCAACAGGAGTAAACAAGGATCTAGGATGTTCTTACAAGGCCCATGTATGAACATCACCTTCTCCAGTGGATAACTCCTACCATGACAGTAACTTAAAACTACAGGCTTGGGTACTTAATATTCAGGGCCAGAACAGGAAGGAGGGATACTCAAAGTGACTGTCTCAAGCAGTAGAACCCTAACAGGACACAGAAACAAAACTGCAGATGGGCTGTGGCTCACACCCTCAGGGTCCCAGGACTCTATGGGTATAACACTGTTCCAGAAAGCAGGTGTGAGTTAGGACACAGGCAGCCTAGCTTTCAAAGTCAATATATATTTCATTTTTCTTACCCTGGTACTGATGGAAGTCTTATGGGCTAGGTAAATCAACACAAACTCTTGAGCAAAATTATGGACACAAAAGTAATCTGGTTTCTTGTTTAAAGCAGATTCTGAAAAAATAACTCTATTTCCCCAGACATTAGGATAACATTTGCCTCTAGAGGACTAATTTAGGTCTTCAGTGACTTGTCCAGAGATGGTGGAGACCAAATAGTCCCAGGTGCCAAGGACCAGAGGCTGCTGTCCCAAGAGCAACAAAGGGAACTCCCAGAGAAGGGGAAAACAGAAGTAAAGCTAGAGTATGGCTGGGCGCTAGCCCTTGGATGGCAACCCTTTTCAGAGATTTACATACTTTTGCCTCCTGAGTGCTAGGATTAAAGGTGGTTGATACTAGGCCAAGTTTAGCTTCTGTTTTTAATTAATGTATTCTTATTTTATTGGTGCTTTGCCTGTATGTATATCTGTGTAAGGGTGTTGGATCCTAGAGTTATACACAGTTGTTAGCTGCCACATAGATGCTGGGAATTGAACCCTAGTCCTCTGGGAAGCAGCCAGTGCTCTTAACCTCTAAGCCATTTCTCCAGCCCTTAGCTTGTGGTTTTTTTTTTTTTTTTGAACTCACTCTGTAGACATGCTGGCCTCGAACTCACAGAGATCCGCCTGCCTCCGCCTCCTGAGTACTGGGATTAAAGGTGTGCACCACCACCATCTGGTCTTAGCTTGTATTTTTAATTAAAATTTGAGGCAGAGCAGTGGTGGCACATGCCTTTAATGCCAGCACTTGGGAAGCAGAGGCAGGTGGATCTTTGTGAGTTTGAAGCCAGAATGAGTTCTAGGACAGCCAGGACCACACAGTGAAATCCTGTCTCCAAAAGCAAACAAACAAAAATTTTGAATAAAGCCAGGCATGGTTTTATATGGCTTTGATCCAGGGCTACTTAGTGAGGCTCTAGCTCAAAAAGAAAAACAAGCAAAACAAAATGATAAAAATTTAAATAAAGCCAGCAGTGGAGGCTCACACCTTTAATCCTAGCACTTAGAAGGCGCAGGTGGATCTCTGTGAGCTTCAGGCCAGCCTGGTCTACTAAGTTCCAGGACAGGCCCCAAAGCTACTGAGAAACCCTGTCTCAAAAAACAACAAAAAAGAAATTTAAATTAAAACACACACACACACACACACACACACACACACACACACACACACACACACACACACACACAGAGCTAGGGGCTTCTGTTCTGTATAGGACAGTGCAATTCTAGACCTGACCTTTGAAACATGTAGCAGAGCTAACAAGAGGACCCTGGTAATCTTACCTGGCATAACCAATGATGAGGCTCCCAAAAACAGTTCCAATGCCAGCCCCAGAGCCAGCCACCCCAACTGTAGCAGCCCCAGCCCCAATGAACTTGGCGGCTGTGTCAATGTCCCTGGAAATGACGCTGGTTTGGAAGCTGCGGCTAGGGATGAGTGAGGTCAGAGGACGAGGGGCTGCCAAGCTGCTGAAGCCCTGAGAAGAGGCAGACAGAAGACAGGGTTTTTGTTATCAAACCTCTGTTTTGCTTTGGAAACATCTGTACTATTTCAAACTGCTGGGCTGTCTAATCTGATGTTTCTCCCTCAACAGATAATCATTTAATTCTCTGGAAACCTCCCTAAAATGCTGGCAGGAGGACTTCTTAATGTAAGAGGTGGAGTTCAAATGCCTTCAAAATTCAAGTATAGTCTAGAAGTGTTAAGTCTGAGACATGAGCCTGTTCTCAACCCCCCATACTTAGTCAGTAAACTAGGCTGAGTAATGGACCAGGGTCTTGAGCAAGAACAAGTGCTCTTAACTGCTGAGCCAACTCTTCCACTCAGGCTGAGATGGAAGTTGACAGTGGCATGCAAACAGGAACTGCCAGTGGCAATTTCTAACATATAGACTACTAATATTAACTGCCTTCCACCTCTACCTAAAGTCAATGGCTTGATCCTGAATTTCAGTCTGAGGTGATTATCCTCTCAGCACTCCCCCTGCTGGTTCTGGGAGGCAACCCTCTTTACCCTCACCAGCAAACCGGTCCCCACTCCACTTCAAGGTACCTCATCTGTCCAAGTCTGTGGTCGGTTCAACTCCACTGCAGACAGGGGACGACTCAGCAGCTGAGAGGTGCTCCTGATCTAGTAGAATAACATGGGCAGGAAGGTCAAGAAAAGCTATGGAGGCGACTTTCAGAACCACGCCAAGTCACGGCATTTAGTAGGATGTTCTCTGATGTTCCATTCTTTCAAATTTAGTCAGAACCTTGAATCGTTCTTTCTTTTAACAAATTTCTTTTAAGAGACAGGCAGACATCTCTGACCCCAGGACTCAGGAAGCAGAGGAAGGTAGTTTCAGGGCTACATAGTGAGACCCTATCTCAAACAATAGCAACAACAAAATAACAGAGGGTCTGGAGAGATGCCTCAGTGGTTAAAATCATCTGTAAAGACCCAGGTTTGATTCCCAGCCTGGTCTATAAATCAAGTCCCAGGACAGCCTAAACAAACAAACAAACAAACAAACAAACCAACAGGGCTAAACAAACAAACCCTGTCTTGAAAAAACAAACAACAAAACATTTTACCTCTGCCTGGTAGCGTTTTCTGACCAAGACACGAGATAGCTAACAGCCAGGCCTTTACAAATAGAATTAAGACACATATATACTTCTTCTTTTGACAGGCTCCACTATAGCCCAAGATGATCTTAAATTTGTGTCAACTAATAATCTTCCTACCTCATACTGACAAGTTCTAGATTATAGACATGAGCCACTATATCTGACTTGTTTTCTTTTCTTTTTATACTAGGGCTTTGTACATGTTAGGCAAGCACTTTCCATTGAGCTATAGCCCTAGCACTCAACAATAAAGTTTCTTTTGTATGTATTAGTGTTTTGCCTACCTATAAGTACATGTATATACCCTGTGGTTACCTGGTACTCATACAGTGAGGACACTGGATCCCCTGAAACTGGAATTATACAGATAGTTGTGAGCTGCCACGTGGGTACAAGGAACAAAACCCAAGTTTTTTGCAAGAGCAACAGTGCTCGTAACTGTTGAGCCATATTAAACCCCAAATGTTAACTTTCTTTCAGGTATGCAATATGAGGGTTAAGTTACTTAATGGTGTTCAGCTTTATTTCTTCACCTGTCAAATGAGAACAATCTCTCAGGGTTTTGAGGAATGAATGGGAAGTATATAAACTTGTAAACAGTCTTGGCACACAAGGTGCTTAGTAACAGACAGCATCTACTAACATCATCTCGACTTTCACTTATGGATGAATAAACTGCCTCCACTATCTTATTTCTTACATCCTGATGCATCTGAGCCCAATACCTTTACAGAGTGTCTGAGTTTCTTTCCTAGACTCATATCCCCAGAATAAAGTCCTAGCAGTGGCCCACTCAAGACAAGAACCCACATACAATGTATATATTGTCTAGGCTATGTAACAGTTTGCTTACCATGTCCAGCTAGGTTCAAATATCAGGAACACATAGTGAAATTACATGATCTGAATGTAAATTAACTGGCTCCCAGAGAACATAGGTCAGGCGATTGCCTAGCAAACATTCAGTGCTGCCAGCAACCATAGCCTTCTTTTCCAGAGACCCTCATCACCTTCCTCAACCCATCTGTGATGAACAAGGTCTATCAGGCATGTCCAACCTATGGCCAGGCAGATTGCAGGTGCCTCAGGGTAGCTATGAAGGCAGCCAACACATTTAGAAATGATGTCATGTCCATATACACTAAAATGTGGAAGCCTCTGGCACTCCTTTTAAGATTCTTCTATAACATGTACTCACCAAGGAGCGGGTGGAGATGAACTTGGAGCAGGCATACATTTTCAGGGGTGAGGGGCCAAGGCAGGAGAGCTGGAAATAAGCAGCAATATCGTAAACACTCTCCCTACTTAATTAGCTCACAGAACAGAATGATGGGTTTCAGGTCATCAATACAGGTGACATCAGAACCCTGTTTCAACACCGCCCCCTCCAGCCTTGCAAGAAAGAACAGCCACTAATTTCCACAGCCTCATGATTTGTGGCTGTCAAAGTAATTTCCCCAGTGCCCCTTAAGCTTTTTTCAGTTCTTCTAGGTTCAAAATCATCTCTTCCTGGTCTCAGTGTCTGGGCCTAGAAAAGGCATATCTTAAAGACTAGAGTCCTAGCAGTGTGTGGTGGCCCTAACACCTGTAACCCAGCAGCACTCAGGAGGCAGGGGCAGGACTACAGAGTAAAACCTTAGAGTGGGTAGTATTAGGACTAGAATATAAGACCCTATGCATACTAGCCTAGTACTGGCTATACCTCCAGTCCCCTAAAGACTAGAATCCCATACTTTTGGAAGTTTCCCCATAATCTTTTTATTGATCTGAAGCATCTGATTCCTTAAAATACTGACTTCTATTATTAACAAGATGCAGCCAATAAATGAGGAACACTGGTATATTCTAAATTAGCACCAACTGTAAACTCATTTCATCACTCCATTAAGGGGTATTAAATCTTGCACCCTCAAGACCCAAAGAAAGAAAGAGTGAGTTAAAGTTTAGGACAATGTTTTTCACCACAGAAGTAAAAAGCTCACTTGAACCAGAATTACCTTAGAGGGTATATATATTAAAAATGTGTCACTGGGCCAGCAAGGTGGCTCATAGGGTAAAAGCACTTGCCCTATAAACCTGACAAAACAAGTTTGATCTGTGGAGTACATGTGGAAGAAGGTACTTCAAGAGCTGTCTTCTCATCTCCACAAGTGTACTATGGCGCATGCTCACACACAATAAGACAATTTAAGACATTTTAAAATTTGGATGTTTTGCTTGAATGCATGTATATGTACCACACGCATGCCTAGTGCCCTAGGACAGAAGGCACTGGACTCCCTGGAACTGTGGGTACTGGGAAACAAACCTGCAACCTCTAAAAGAGCAACAAGATGTTCTTAACTGCAAAGCCATCTCACCAGCCCCTAGAAAAAAATTAAAAAAAAAAGAAAAAAGTGTTTTTGGCTCTCCCTTAGATCTTCCTAGTCCAGATCTCTGGTGCCAATGTTTTAAACAAGTTTTTCAATTGTCTTTATATTTAATGGCATAGTCTCAACAACACTGAAGAGGTATCAGTGGCAGAGCAAGAACTGTAATTCTATAATTTCACGTTTTTTTTTTTTTTTTTTTTTTTTGTTGGAGACAGGATTTCCCTGTGTAGTTTTGAAGCCTGTCCTGGAACTCACTCTGTAGACCAGGCTGGTCTTGAACTCACAGAAATCCGCCTGCCTCTGCCTCCCAGGTGCTGGGATTAAAGGTCTGTGTCACTGCTGTTTGGCTATAATTTCACTTTTGGGGAGGGCAAAGAAGGTAGAACCTCAGTGCACTAGGTAAGATGGTCTACCACTGAGCTTCTTCCCCAGCTCTTTTTCTCAAGATTCTCAATTTGAGATACTCAAAGTATAGATAGGTCTGTTAAGCACTTTCCCCTGGACTCAACCTGTCCTGTGCACTACTTGTAAACCCCAAATCATACTTTTAGATCAATGTCTATCTTCAAGTCTTGTTCTACCTAAAACTGCTTTTGCTGAATATGGTGGAACACACCTATGATCCCAGCACTCAGGAGGCAGAGGCAGGCAGATCTCTATGAAGTTGGTCTACAATTCCTGGTCTACATAGGAAATTCCAGGTCACACAGTGTGACCCTGAAACAAATAAAACAGAATTTTGCCTTTATGAAACCTAAACCCAAATCTGCTGTTCAACCATTCAGGTTCTATTGAATGAAAACCCAAGATTTCTGTAAAGTTTTTAGAATATAGGGAGGCTTGAGCTGAGATGATGGCTCAGTTGATAAGTGTCTGCCACACCAGACTTGATGTCCAAGGCAGGGGCTAGTTCATATTTATAAGCCCCAGAGCTGGGTATATGGAAACAGGTAGATACCTGAAGCTCATTGGCTTGGAGTATAACTGAGTTGATGAAATTCATGTTCAGTAAGACTTCCTGTCTCAAGAAATGAAGGTGGAGTAGAAATGCTCCCCTATGTTAACTTCTCAGCATGCACATAAGCTTGCACACACTTGAATAAAGAGAAGTCTGAAGTTAGGCATGGTGATGGATGCATGTTATCCTAGCACTGGAGAGGCTGATGCAGAAGGGGTCACTAGTTTGAGGCCAACAAGGGCTATTTTTAGAGTCTTCAAGAAACCAAACTAGGTTGGACAATGGTGGCACAGGTCTTTAATCCCAGCACTGGGGAGGTAGAGGCAGGAGGAACTCTGTGAGTTTGAGGCCAGCATGGTCTACAGTTGGAGTTACAGGACAGGCTCCAAAGCTACACAGAGAAACGCTGTACAGGCTCCAAAGCTACACAGAGAAACGCTGTCTCGAAAACAAAACAAAACCAACAGCAACAACCAAAATAAGAGGGAAGACATTTTTTTTTCCAGAAACAGTTAAGTCTTAACTTTATCACTTATAAAATGTCGTTCTGGCAGTATTCTAGTTACTATCCAGCCAACTGCTTGCTTACAGTGTATTCAATAAACTATTCTATAAAAACAAATCAAGAAAAAGCCCAAAGAGGATTACATTTGAAAATTTACAAATTAATTGTGTAAATAGTATAATGTTACTGGGTGTAATAAATCTAAGAGTATCAATTGGTGAGCCCTTCCAGCAGTCACTTAACCTGGGCAAACCCATACCTGAGCTAAATCTTCCACAATCACAACTCCTAAGTAACCCCCCCCACCCCATCCTGGCCTTTCAGTTAGAAAGCTATCTAATTATTCCGCACTTTAAACCTTTCTGTCTTGCTGCCAAAATCTGAATGTTATGTGACAGGTAGAATCTTAAAAGGTCTGGACCTCTCCCACCTTCTTCTGGACTTAATGTTTAACAGAAACCTCCACGTCTAACCCACCATTTAAGATTTTATTTCCAACTTCAATAGCATGTCGGGGCTTTCATTAGAGGCAGGTTAACAACTAGTTTTTTAAGGAAACAGGCCCCCTTTCTGTCCCGGCTTTCCCATGCCACGCGTGGCCTGTCCGTCCACAGAGCCGTTCTCCTTTCTACCACGTTCAGTTTACTTAAAACTGAAGGATGTGACTAGAGGTGATGGGGACTCTGAACGATGAGCTAGCTTGACTGCTTCGAGAACCAGAAGTTCTGACGTTCAGAGTCTTCAGGCTTCTAAAAACCAAGGCTACTTTGATTCAGGGAGACAGGAAGAAGCAGAGATGGGGAAATAGAACGCGGGGTTATGACAATGGTGAAAAGGTCTGAGGGTGAGCAAAGAGCGTCCATAAAGCCTGGTTCGCGCCCGGCGAGAACACGCACGCCAGGATTGGCCTTCCGCCGGCCGCAGGGCCCCCCAACCCCCGTGAGACACCCAAGATGGCGCCAGGCCCGTGCGGTTAGAGGTCACCGACACGAGGAAGGGGCCGCTCGCTCTTGGCGCGGGAATGCCAGCAGCCGCGAGGCTGCGAAGATCCGGGTGGGAGCTAGCAAGGTCAGGGTGGCCACGCGTCCTCGCAAGGGGCAACGCTGCGCGCGCCTGCGCGGCGCGAAGAGGACGCGAGGCCTCAAGGCCTTACCTGCTCCCAGGGTAGAGAAGACAGAGAGGGGCGGGGGCGCGGGAAAGCGCGCAGAAACGAAGGCTCTGCGCATGCGCGACCGCAGCCAACGAGCTACTCTGCCGCGGATAGAGTGAACACAAGTGCCACAGCACCCCCTGCCGGGCTGGTGGTGCCTTCGGGACAAGCTCTCCACCTGGCGTTCAAGAGAAGAAACTACAAAAGGAGCCCGTCCTGCACGCAAGAGCGGCCAACTAATTCAACCAGGAAAACCGATCCGCAACGTGGCGGACGGTGCGAACTGTGCAGCTCTTGGAGTCTTGGACTCGTGTCCCCTTTCCGAACATGCGCAATTGCTATGAAAACAAACAAACAAACCCAGGCTACTCGGAAATTGCTCGTAGTATACAGTAGAGATTGGGGTTCGATTCCTAAAATGTAGCAGGGGGAAAATAAAATAACGGAACTCCTGGTTTTTGTCAACCTGGGGACCCTGGCATCATTGGGTGGGAGATGAGAACTGGCACAATGGGCTAATAGCAAAATGCCACGGCTGTTCTGCTGGCTTTAATTTATTTTCCGTTTTTCTTACCTCATGATGAGTATGAGAAAACCAGCATGTGCGAGTCAGAAGATAGGGGGTAAACATAGCCTGAGTCCTCGAGCAAGCTAGAGATAACCGCATCTGTGACACGCAATAGGGGATGCGAGATTACTCTAGGTAACCAATTTGCCTCTGCCAGCTTGCTCGGGCGGGAGTTGGAAATAATCAGTTATCCTCAGGGTGCTCTCTCTCCCCAAGCTCCAGTTTTTTCCAGTGCCCTTTCACTCGTCCCTCCCCCGGTGACAGGGGGCGATGGCTTCCCAGCACTAGTCCCTTAGCAGGTTTTTGTGTCCACGCAGGACCAGACAAGCCTAGGGGAGGGCGGCAAGGCCGACACAGCCTCGAAGCTTAGCTGACCCTGCAGAGTGCTTGGACTCAGTGCGAGAAAGACTGGAAGAGAACACCAAACCCACATAAAATAAATAAATAAATAAATAAGAAGAAAGCCTAGGCTGTAAATAAAGGCAAATCCGCCACCCTCTGAGGGGCCGTTTGTCCTCCCCTCCTTGGCCCCGTCCTTCCAGCAGCCACCCCCTCCCGGCCCCCGGCCCCGCGGCGCCCCGGCCCCAAGCTCCTCCATTTAATCGGATTTGGGAGAAGGGGAGGATAAATCACGGCAGCAGCTTTACGGTCCCGGAGGAGAGGCGAGCCGCAGCCAGGCACACCCCGGCCGGCGATAAAAACCGCCGCTGAAAGCCCACGGAGCAATTTCCCGGGACCCCGAGCGACGCCATTACAGGAATGTAATTTTGCCCGGATGAGGCCCCGAGTTTAATTATCCTCGCGGAGGAATTTCAATGCGGCCAATCCATCTTGCAGGCGGGCGGCAGAGGGATTTATATGGGCCCGTTATTTCACACCGATCCTCCATCTGCATTTTTATGGCTGAAAGGGAGGGAAAGAGTGGGGAGAAATGGAAGAAGGTGGGGGGGGACGACTCCCCGCCTATCCTAAATCCTCCATTTCATCTGGATTAGGATTCTCACATGTTCTCCTAAAATCCCCAAATCTCCCTTCAGTGCCAGCTGTTGACCCGGGCAGGGGCGGGAATCTTTAGGAATCAACAGGTATTTTTCAAGTACTAAGTAGTGTGAGATAACTGTGTGAGCAAAGAAGACCAGCTAGCAAGGGTTTAGGAGTTGATCCTTTGAGGTTCCACGGGACATTCGGCCCCGCCAAAACTGAATTCCTTTCTGCTCTCAGTTTCATACCCTAAGAGGCACAATCCACTGTTCTTAGAGCCATCACTGCCAAATGGTGTTGCAGCTGTCGGTTGCGACAACTTTAGAGAATCTCGTATATCGCTAACAAAAATCTCAGAGGACGACAGATCAGAGAAGGGGCCTGTGAGTGGCTAACCCTGGCTCCTAAAAGTGAATTCATCCTGCAGTCTGTTATTTCCTTAGCTCCAGTAGTTGGCTTCAGACAAACCAGGTTCCCAAATCGCGTGCGACCTTGGGCAAGTTGTTTAACCCTTTTAAATAATTTTTTTCCTCCTTTTAAAATTGGGTATAACAACAGCGCTTACCAACTTTTAAAATTGCAGCGCTTACCTGCAGCCAGTATTAAGATCATAATGTACAAGAAGCTTTTAGCAAAGGGCTAGGTACTCCGTAAAAGTTCAATAATAGCCATAATCATTATCGTCAGTATCACAGTTATGATCATTGCAATTCAATTCTGCCCTGTTCTTGTGAGCTTGTTTATTGTAAGGTCCTTGCATAGTATCTCCTGAAAGATATTCAAGTATCACAAAAACTTTTCAGTCACATAAATCATGCAAAACCAGTTAGCTGACATATTGATGGGTAATCTGTGTGAAGGATGAGAATCCCGAGGGCCCCTGCAACCAGGTTTGAAGCAAGAAATTAGACCATAAAAAGAGCAGGGACCTGGCAAAAAGTGGATTGAGGCACGTGAGGGAGGGGTCATCCCATAGAAGATCAGCTGAGGGTCTAAGGGTTTTCTTAACCCACCACAGCCAGGGACCTGCGGTCCAGGAAGGAAGGGGTGTGGAGCCAGAACCATCCTTTCCAATCAATCCGAGTCTCTTCCGACCAGACCATGTAACAAGGTTGACCTGATTGGCCAGTTTTCCTAATGACTTCTAGTGGCAGATTCTAACTGGCTAGTAGCCTCCCTGCCCAAGAGTGACGAAGAAATGAGATTGATGTTTCCTGTCCTCGGATTGGTTAACCACTCTCAGGGGACAGAGACTCTTTTTAATTGACTGGTAGGCTAGAATGAGGTTTGGCGTCCCTCATATCAAAATTCCATGAGTTCTTTTCCACAAAGGTCACCAAGAAAGAATCTCGATTGGCTTGAATATATTTGCCTTTGGCCAGGAGACACAGTAATTCAGAGAAGAAAAATCAAAATCGTACAGGCACGCCACTGTTAAATATGAAACCTCAGACAGAAGGATTCACAGGAAGAAACATAAAGGAGAAAGAGTGAAGAAGGGATAAAAATAAGGGTTGTCAGGTCGATGAGATGGAGAAAGGGAAGATTTTAATCAAAGAATACAGTTTCAGTTAGATTGGAGAAATAAGTTTTAGTAATCTATTTTACTTGATAGTGACTACTTTTAATGTGTTGGATATTTCAAGTCTGCTGAAATAGATTTTTAAGGTTCTCGCCACACGCACACACGCATGTATTTGATAATGTTTATGTTAATTAGCTGTATAGACCCTTTCTATGATGTGTATGTAGACTAAAACATCACATTATGTCCATAAATATGAACTTTTGTTTGTCTGGCTTTGTTTTTTTGTTTTTTTTTGTTTTTTTTTTTTGAGATAAGAGTCCCTCTACCTAGCCCTGGCTGTCCTGGAACTCACTATGTAGATCAGAATGACCTCAAACACAGGGATCCACCTGTCTCTGCTTTTTGAGTGCTGTGATTAAAGGTGTGTGCCACTGTTCTGGGTCTGGCAAGTGTAATCCCACCCCAACTGCCCTTTTTGAGACAGGATCTCTTGTAGCTTTGAACTCCTGATCCCTCTACTTGCACATCCCAAGTGCTGGGATTACAAGCAAAGTCTAATTTGGAGATGTTATTAATTCCTTATGTGACTCTGAGAGAAACACATCTCTGACCTCAGTTTTCTCTTTTGTAAAACAGAAAGCCAGCAAATGGTTATCCAACTCCTTTTTGTCTTTGCATGCATGTTACAAGACACAGGTTTCATTTCTTGTTTGCCCTACTCACCTGTGACATTAAGTGATTAACAGATATTTCTTGAACATCTACTTTGCAAGATATTGTACCACCTATTGTGCATGGATATTAAAAAAAAAAAAAGAAAGAAAATGTGCTGGGCATGGTGGCACACAGCTTTAATCCCTGCACTTCAGAGGCAAAGGCAGGTGGATCTCTGTGAGATGGAGGCCAGCCTGGCTACAGAAGGAGTTCTTGAATGGCCAGAGCTACACAAAAAAACTGTTGAGAGAGAGAGAGAATATGGGATACTCACACATGTATAATATGCACAGGATATGCTTATTATGTATAAGAGTTAGGTAATAGGAATTGAAAAAGAAAAATGAATTCTAGCTAAGAGGGAATCATGATTAAAATGGGCTTTTTGGCTTCTTTAAAAAAAAAAAAATATGAGCCTAGCAAGATTGCCTTTAATCCTAGCACTCAAAGGGCAATGGCAGGTGACTCTCCATGAGTTCAAGGTCATCCAGCCTGGTTACCTAGCAAGTTCCAGACCAGCCAGAGTTACATAGTAAGGCCTTGTCTGAAGAAATTATGAAATATAAACCAGGCTAGGTTGCTTAAGCATGTAATCCTAGAACTCAGAAGACTGAGACAGGAGGATTGCTGTAAGTTTAAGGCCAGTCTCTTCTGTAGACTATGGCATTGTCTGTCTTTATAAATTATAAAAAGAATGCAAACAATATATTTATTTATTTATTTATTTATTTATTTATTTATTCAACAGGTTGTCTTGGACAGTAGTGGAGATTGAACTAAGGGCCTCACAAATGCCAGGCAACCTTCTCTATCCAGTACCTCAGACACTATTTTTTTTTAAGCATCTACCATGTGCCAAGTATTCTTCATGGTTCTTAGAACACAGATGTGAACAAAGCAAGAAAAAAAAAAAAGAGAGAGAAATCTTTACCAGAGGCTGGGAACACAATTTAGTGGTAGGGAACTTGCCTAGCATGTATGGGGAACTGAGCTCAACTCACAGCACCACTGCCACAAACAAAAACAAAAACAAAAACAAAAAAAAAAAACAAACAATGCTCATTATCCATACAGAGAACTGACATTAAAAAAAAAAAAACAAAACCATGAGGCATAATAATAAAATGGAATGGGCGCCTATAAGCGATCATTGAGCTTAAGAAAAACAAAAACAAAAAAGCAACAAATTACTGGTACCATTGAGTCTCATGTACTTCTTTCCTATAGTAACCCCTGGGTTTCACAGTTGTCATTCCCTAGTCCTTCTCAGGTTCTTACTTTGCAACCA